ATTATGTTTGGAGCAAAAGAATAACATTTTGAATCAGAAACTGATAAATAATATGGATATCTTCCACACACCTCATGATATACCTGAAACTGATGTCATTTGAGAAAATTAGGAATAGCTCTTTATCATTAAATTGACCAGATTATACCGAATAATATTCATCTTCTGTAAGTGTATAAAGCAAGGGAAAATAAGACTTTAAATTGCATATGAGTACTTTTCTTTAAAGCAATTAACTTTAATCTTGATTTTCAAATAGTTATGGGCGTTGAAAGATAAAGCTGTGCACAAGCAAATGTATCATGTTGGGAAAAGAAACCATAACAGTCTGGTTTTACATTGTTTGACTGATTTCTAAAAAGAGAACTGGTTCCCAAATCCAAGTGATGTTAAGAGAAAGGATTTACACAGTGATGCTAGTGCTTCAGTCAGGCTGCAGGGATACCCTGTACCTATTGTCTCTGAAGTAATTTTAATGACGGTTACAGGATTTTTATGCTTGATCCTGAAACCACCATGAGTTTTTCTGTTGGCTGAGGATCAAGGCCTTTAGTGACTCGTGCTGAGAAAAACAAATGTTTACCTGATCCCAGAACAAATGGATTTATATGACACAGCAATGTGGGTAAAGTGGAAGGAGAAGATTGAAGCAGACTGGAAAAAGGGCACATTTATACTGTTCTTAAAGCACTTGTCAAAACAGATTGTATCTTTAGTAACACTAGTCTGAAAAAGACTACTTCAGGTTTTTTTTGTCTGAAAACAGTGAACCAGAATGCCATTTCAGTAGCGTTTCATACAGCTGTCACAGCATCTCTGAAAGCAGATAGTGAAGAGAGAGGTTTCCATCGACAGCAGTGGTGTCTCTATTGTATATATGTCGATTGATACACATATCTGTAAATGTGTGTGCAACTGTGTTTTATGACATTTGTAAGTTAATGTTATATCAGATGAGTATCACGGCTGCAAGTCTTGTGACAAGCTGTCCAATATCTGAAACCACTGTTGGTCCAAAAACAGTATTAAAAGGAGAAATAATTGACTGTCAGTCAGAAAGCCTCTGGTGTAAGCTCCTTGCAATGAACAGTAGCTACAAAACTGCTTAAAACAGACCTTTGCAACTTGTCAGCCAATTATTTTCAGTAACGGAGCCGTGCAGTTAGTGTATTGATTTTGATTCTTACTTCAAACATTTAATGGTAGCACATGCAATATCAAGCACAATAAATGTGACTAAATGTTTTTAAAGACTTTTAAACTTAAATTACTGCAAATCCACTTAAAGTCTTTTCCTGACGTGAGAAGCTAATAAAAGCTAACTGAATTCAGAAAAGTAAAAGGTTTAAAACACTTTTTAAAGTTGCCATCTTGTGTGATACAGATATATTTACCAAGATTAGGACAACATAGAGTATTATAAAATTAGTATTGGAAAGTGGGAAAGTGGGAGTTAGTAGCTGGGAAGTTTCATTTAGCCTGTCACTTGGCATTCATTGCTTCGATACTTCAAACCTTTACCTTCTCTTCAAGTCCTTATTATACTAGAAAGACTGAATACTTGGATTTTGTCCTGCCCACAAGATCAGTAATGGTTTTCCTTGAATGACCCCTACTCTTCTGAAGAAGCCACTGTTTTCACAATATTTCAGTACATTGATATTCTTGATTGAGTTGTGTCCTTAACCTAAACTGGAGGTGACTGTGTTGCAAGATCTCCATCATAGAAACTCATCTTACTGCTTTTCACTTGAGGCTGTGTGTTGACTGGGAGAGCAAGAGAGGAGCTGTGGGGCCAGAAAGAAAGAGCAGTGTCAAAAAAACCCAACACATACCGAGAAGGAAAAAGAAATGGAGAAGTTCTGGATTCTAGCACCAGTTCTGCACACTGTTTCTATGTTACCTAGTCACCTCTAAATGCAAACGACTTAACACTCACCCTCAAAGCAAATGGTTTTACAAAGGAAATTAATAATGTTTATTTGCACTTGGACAATGCAGTTGATATGACACAAGAATAACTTAGCAAAGCTCAAATATCAGTTACTATAAAGGAATTCTAATTTGGGGTAGAAACTCTGAAGTCAGAAATGAATGGACTAATCAGGGTGAAGGGGAGATTTATAGCAAATCCTCAGCAGAAAAGAAGATAACCTAGAAGCTGAATGTTGTAAAAGTGATTTAAAACTGGGAGCAGAGTCTTATAGAAAGATACACTAAGCAAAGTAGGTCAATAGTGCTGATTGCTCTGGCTATAGTGTTTTAAGGCAGCAAGCACTTTAATGTGAAATGTGAAGTCCTGAAATAAGCTTTGGACTTCAACAAAGTTAGTTCATTTTTTAGTATTAAAAGGCATAGCAGAGAGGAAGATAACATATATAAATACTGTTTCTCATGGGCTTTTCCAAAATTCTGAATTATTTTTCTTCCCACTGAATCTGTTAAGACAGGAGAAGGGGCAATGGGCACAAGCTGGAACACAGAAAGTTTCATCTAAATCTGTGTTTTCCATTGGCTTCTCAGAACTGGGAGGGTTTGGAGGTGGAGAGGCTTTTTGTTTCGTTGTTCAGCTGGGTTTAGTTTTGGGAGTTTTTTAAGACTGTCACTAGCACTGAGTTATACCATTTGCTACAGTAGGGAATTTTATTCTAGTATCTTCTTCTTTTGCACTATCTCGTTATTGCATGGATGACAGAACTGTAGACTTCCATTCAAGTCTTTTCATTTCCTGTTATTTTCACTTCTCTTCAGGGACCTGATTAAAAGTAGTCTGTGCTGGTACTTATTATCTCTAGCCTTGCTCTGTTTTGTTGTATTCCCTTTTGCTTTTTTAGCCCTTGGAATTGATTAATTAAACCTTTACTGCATAAAGTAATAGGAAACATGAATTGTTTAGCTTCTTCATTAGTGTGTTGTGGGAGACATGCAGGTCTGTGCTGTGCTTTTACCAGAAATTATTATGGTAGCACGTACAGTTTTAGTACAGTTTTAGATGGTGGCATTGAAAATCACCTTTAAACACTTGCCATGTCTCATAGTGACATTTCAAATCATGTACTACTTGACTACTATTTCAAATCATGTACTGCTTGACTACTAATTGTCTCTCCTTTTCTCTCGCTCCTCCATGTGAGTTGCATGCATGTGAGCTCACTTAATGCTCTGTTGATTTGCCGCAGGGTGACAGTTCCAAAAGCTTTGATGCCCCTTTAGAGCACCAGTAACATGAGAAATGTCACAGGGCAGACAGCCATAAGGAAAAGATTGTGCAAACCCTGCCAGTAAAGTCCTAAAGGAACTCAGTCTTTTTCCACAGAGAAATGTTACAGGATTTTGACAAAAACAAAGCAGCCTAACAGTCTGGACTGTAAGATGGACTGTAATGGACTGGTAAGAATAAGATACTCTGATTATTTTAAGCATCAATAGGCATAGTACTGTAAGATCCAGATGCTGAAAAACCATGTATCAGATCATGAGAGAAGTATCTGACGGTGTCTGCTGGTTTTTGGCCCATGGAGGAGGTATTTTATTTATCTTATTATTATCAGCAGCTGTCACACTTCAGTGCATACAGTAAAACATGGCCTTCCCATAGGCAGTTTCACTGGCCTTTGCTTATTCTCTGCTGCTCTCCAGAGAAGCAGATGAGATTGTCTCCTCTTTGTCTTGGTTCTCTCTGGCATTTTGGTCTTCACCTGTGGTTTGGCTCCTCCTGCTCCTTTTTCCTCTGTTTCCATTCACTTCAGTGCCCACACACTTCAGTATTTCCCCAGGAGCCATCATTACTCTGACCTGATCATGAGCAAATACATTTCACCACAGAGGGGCTGGTCCTGTTGCCATGAGGGTAAGTTTGATGGTGGTATTGAACAATGTCTTTTTTTAATGAGTGAAGAGTACTTAGTAGGGTCTCATGGACTGTGGAACAGACATAACTCTCTAGCCCCCCCTGTGTATGTTTATATGCACACTTCTCCAGCAGCAACTCCACTGTTGACTTAATCCTCTTGGGAGATGAGGACCTGTCCTGGCAGAGGCCACAGCACGTTGGAAATGTCATACTTGATGCACCTTCTGCGTGCTTCCTGCTTTTATATTAACAGTGCTTTCCAGTCTGTCTCACTGTTCTGTCCAGTTTCAAGAGAAATTGCCTGATGGACAGTCACCTTGAGAAAGATCAGCCCACTTGATACCTCTCCTGATTTTTTGATTCGTGGGTGGAATCACAGCCCAGCCCATGATAGGGGGCCATCAGAAGTTTTAAGTCAAGCAGGAGCTTAAGCTGGGAGGGGCAGCTGACTCCAGCTGGCTCACAGGTGTGTGCTGTAGCATAAATTTCACACTCATTATAAAGGGGGTAAGTTCGCTGAGGATGGGGCCTTCTTCTCCTCCTCCTTCTCTCAAGGATTGTCATCCCTGGATGAGCTTGCTGATTGCTCTGCTCTCTAGGACTGCTTTCCCATTTATTGTGACCACTATATGCTCACTGGGCTGAGTATCACTTATATATTCATGTATACTGTATATTCATGTTAGTTTGGTGTTTCGTTAGATCTTCACATTTCAACCCATGGGTCTCATCTCCTTTTCCTGATCCTTGTCTCTGTTGGGAAGGGGTCATCAGGTGATACAGCAATTGCTGTAGTTTAGCGCTGGTTATGGGCTAAACATAGGCAATAGTGTTCCATGGTTGTTGAGCCTTTTTAAGTTTTGCCTGCACATACAGTAAGGAAATAGTGACCATTCTAGGTTAGCTCTAAAGGTTTTGAGGTAGGCTTTTTTACAAAGATGAAAGGCAATAATATTGGTAGGAGGATAACTTTTCTTGAAAAACTTAACCACAGACAGATGGTGCAGCTGTGATGCACCTAGGTACTGTAGGGTCTCCAAAACAACTGCTAATCTTCAAGAAACACAAAACTATTCTGACTGATGCTGTCTTCCTAAAACTGACAAGGGGATTAAGGAAACTGTTTCCTCTACTCCTGCCCTTTTAGAGACAGACATCTCTGTAATATTTTGATTGGAAAGTGTGCCACATGCATTGCCTGTGAAGGACCTGATGAGCCTCATATTGAAAAGCAAGGATCTTGTTTAAAGGTCTATTTCACATTAGCATGTTTTGGAGCTATGCTGGTAGTTTCTCAGATAATGAATGGTCAGACACAGTCATTTGACTTCTCCTACTCTCATTTCCAGCCGGATGATGATGTGCACGTGCCTCCAATACCAATGGATGCATCTCCTGTACTGGCAGAACTGAAGTGGCCAGGAGATCAGCATACATTAATGCTGACACTGCGTATGACTAGGCAAATAGACAAAATTAATGTTCTCAAACTAATAGCTCTAGAGGCCATACCTCTTCATTATCTCACTTGTTACGGTAAAAAAAAAAAAGGCGTTCTGTCTGATGTTACAGCATAGATTTTATTTTTTATTCCCCATCGCAGTGTAAAATTGAGTAACCACTTTTGTGGTTAGTCTTCATACTGCAGTTGCTGGTGGTACTAATTCAGTATGTACCTCCTCCTGCAAAGTCAGCATCCCTAGAAATCACCTCCAGAGGCAGTAGCTGGTATGAGTCTTCAGATGGGCAGGAAGCTGCCAGCTGGTCAATGGTGAGGCAAGGGCAATAGTTAACATGCTCATTAAAACGCTAACCAGCCACTAAAGTTTGGCTGAATGATTCTTCTAAGAAAGAGACATAACCAGACATCAGTAACAACCCCACAGGCTGATTTCAGTTTCTTTTCGTGCAGTCTCCAGCTATTGAGACTTTGTGTGAGAGATGCTTAACCAGATGACAATAATTTTCCTTTCTTGGTCGGTGCTGTCTGCGAGGAAGATAGGGACCGTGCAGGCCTGCAAAAAATTAATTGCCATTTATTGGAAGCTGGATGAGAAGGTTGCTATGGAGGCTAGAAATACGTGGCTGCCATGCTAGCGCCGCCATGAGTTCCCCCATTTGACTTTGCCCTCAAGGTGCTGTCCTGGCAGCCCCCAGCACTAGACTTGGGTGGAAGTTGAGAACCAGTGGTGAGCGCAAACATGGGATTTTCTGCGTTTCTATCTTCTGTCAAATAGGGGTATGGATGATTTGGCAGGTATGGGGAAAACAAAAAAACACATTAAATATTTTTGAAACATTAACAAGTAAATAATTGATTTCAGTGCTTGTGAAGGCAAGCCTTCACATCCAAAATCCCATATGTTGTACCCTAGTGGGTGGAGACGAAGGGAATTTTTTAAAACAATAATAAATCTTTTGAGCATGTAATCTATCAAATACAGCAGCCGAGAATTTGGCGTGCATTGCCTTTGTGTTCCACAGTTGTTGTTTGTGGGGGTTTTTTTGTTGTTGTTTGGGTTGGGTTGGGTTTTTGCGGGAGTCTCGTGTTTGTGGTTTTTTTTAAAGTATGAACCTCTTATAATAATGCTTCACTACAGCTTCTTTATAAATTATACTATAAACTATAGTTGATCAGCATCGTTAGCTGCAATACTAAAAGGAGAAAGATGCAGCACAGGAGCTTGAAAGGAAGCTCTTCTGAACAATATCTGCGGCAGGCCACCCTTTAACTCCCCAGTTTGGTCTGTGGTAGTGGATTTAGCTTCTCCTGTTGGATTTAGTTTCTTTTTTAACAAGTTGTTAGCGAGGGGTATGTGCCTAATGATCAGCATTGGTTTCTGGGAAGAGAAGAACCCGCTCTTCATTTATTTTTGTGACACGTTGACAAATGGCTCCATTCAGGGCAAAATAAAAAAAAAACATTCTTCTGAAAGTGTTTTCGCGTGTGGCAATCCTAAATAATGCATGAAACATTAGATGTTCTATGAAAATGACCTCTGAGTATCATCCTTTTGGCTGCCATGGTGTTTCCCTTAGCTAAAGGATCACAGTATGCAACTATACTTTTCCCCATTATTTCCTTGTTTTTATGTTGGGGCAAGAGTCAGAAATTATATGTAGAACATATTAATTGTTTGATTTTGAGTTCATTCATTTGCCTAGGAAATGCTGAAAGCAATTAAGCTTTATTCAGAATTTTGACGTATTTTTTGCCATCTATGGCTCTATAGCAGCCTAATCTTTTAAATATATTTTGTTTAAAATGAGAAATGGGATATATGTAAATGAAAACCTGACCCTTTACTGCCCTCTTTTCATTTATTCAGAGGAGATTTTGTTGCCTTAATTAAAATATTGTTGTGAAAGACTGGTAATGACAGAAAAGAAATAGTCTGAAGGGTTTTGCAATGTATAAACACTTTCTTAGAAATGCAATTACTAGCTATTATGTAGTTACGCTGCCTTTTTTTAAAAAGGAAGTAATTTGTTTAAAAAAAAATAATCATCCATGGAAATAATGACCAATGCTGCCTTGGAGATTTATCTCGCTGGACTGAAGTATGGCAGAGAAAATGATAACAAATTGATATGCATTGCATCTATGAGAGAAATTTTGAATGTAATGTATTGTGTAAACTTGTTTATTTCAATAATTCACAAAATGTGGTGCAATTATCACTTTTCTTGGCTAGATATAGAAGATTCATGGACTTTGAGGTATCCTTTAACAACCACAGTACAATTTTCTATATTTATTTTTGTAGTTTAATTTGCCAAAACTTATCTTGCCATGTTTTATGATAATGTCATGCAAATATGGCCAGTACAAAAAAGCACCATTAAAAATAAATTGTGAGCTAGGAAAAACGATGTTTATAATTAAATAATTAAAAATATAACATTACAAAACATTTATCTTTACTCCTACATTTTGTTATATATATTAGCCTGTCAAGAGCTTAAAAATTCATTTGATACCTGTGAAGCTAATTGAAATCTTGGGGAGATTTGGGCACCTGGCAGGGGATAACTGTAGGTGAGACTGGTCTCTCTGGATTTACTCTTTAAAGCGAGAGGCTCTGTCTTCAGCTTAATCTCCTTTGCGAAGTGATTTAATTCCGTTATCTCCCTGTACTGATTATCAGGGGAGGCCCAAAGAGATTAATTTCTGTCAATACACTTGCTGGAGCTGCACTGCTCTCACAACTCCTGCATCCTTCCTCGCCATCAGACGTGCAGCTGGTACATGGTGTCCGTGTGCTGCATTGCACGGTCTGGGGTATGAGCTGTGCAACTGAATCTCAATAATCTTGAGGCTAAAAAGTGGAAAAGTGATCATCTTGTGATTTCCAAATTGTCTGAGGACCCCAGGCTTCTTTTGGGGGGAAGACTGTGGGATGATGTTTTCTTTCGCACAGAAAGCTTTTGCTTTATATTTGGGGGTTGATACTTAAGCGTGAAGTGTGTCCTGGGGAACTGAGAGGCAGAAGATGGAGGAAAAAAGCTGCAGGAAAGGTTATGTGCACTTTGCATCACCTTCCCCTTTTTTGTTGGCTTACATTTGGGAAGGTCCCTCTCCCTGGTGGGTGCCAGGGAGGTGGCTGGTGGCACAGAGCGAGGTGAGCGAGCCAGGGGAGTTGCAGGTGGGGCTGGGCAATGCTCTGCTCGTGGGAGTTCCTGTTAAAACAGGATTAAGCCCAACAAACCAATTGCATTCAGAAGCTGTATTCTCTGGGCAGATCCCCCTGTCCCCTCAGCACTCCTGGAAGAACCAGGCACAACCTGTATGCTCCAACTAGAGTCTCATTGCTCTGGTGAATTTAAATGGACCCTTTGTAGTGCCATGTTCTCATTGCATAGCGCTAACAACGCTAAGGTCACAGGTTCGATTCCCGTTCGGTCCCCATGTGTTGCCTGATCTAGTCAAGAGGTGGCGTCCCTGGCGGCAGGGAGGCTGGATTAAAGTGATCTCTAAGGTCCCTTCCAGCTTAGACCATTCTATGATTCTCTGTTGTAGCTTTTTGCATTTTCACACACCATCATAGTTGGAATAGTTTTGCATTGGTAAAGCGTTAGTAAAGTCCAAAGAGGCTGTAGGGAGTTGTTTTCATATTTAATCCTAAAACTTTTCACTACAGTGGCTCTTGGACTCTTCACATTGCTGCCGATGGGTCTCGTTTAATCCAGCCGTTCACCTCTTTTACTGGCTGAGTCTGTCGAAGATTACTGACTATTAGGTTGTGCTTTGGCATTTTGCATTAAATATTGAAATTCCGCAGTCTTACGGAAGTTGTCCTGGCACCCTCCAGGAAAGTTGTCTTGCGGAGTTATCCTGGCACCCTCCAGGAAAGGTTAGGGGATAATAAACAACTGTCTGCAGAGATTGAAACAGGTCTGCTTACTGAGGGCAAGAATTTTGATTTGGTAAGTATTTTGATGATTTGAAGTATTTGTGCAGTTTCCCTGAGGATTTGCTGTTCCTTTCAGTTGAAAATTAGCTGCTGCCTTATGTTATTGGGGACATAATGTAATTTTTAAAAAAATCTTGTAAGTACTGTTGTGCCTCTGAATTTCAGTAGTTCGGTAAAGAAATAAAGAAAACCCCACACAGCAACAACCTTTGAATATTTATATTTCCTCTGTGGTTCCTTCTCCTGGTACATTCTGTACGTTTTAGAAGAGATACTGATCTCATACTTTCTGTTCCTATGTACAGGACCAACAGTGGTGTACTGGAAAAATACTGAGTTACCAGCAGCCTGGGTCAATCAGACTCGTATTTCCTGAGAATGAATGACAGTAGAATTGCAAACACTGTATTTCAGATTCTGTGACACTTCGTGTTCAGTACAAAGCTTTCAAAAAAAGGGAAATATAAGGCAGTGATGGTCTTGCTTTAATACACTCTTCTGATCCAGATCCTCACTTCAAATTTCACCTAATTACGTAATGCTAGTTACAGTGTTAGTTATAATAATCACAGAAATAACTTCTAAAGTTCTATTAATATTTTACATATTTTAATGTGTTTAATTAGTATAAGCAATGTGATTTTAGACACAATGATTTGAGATACATTAAAATATTACCCTGTAAACTGAAACTGGTTTAGTACTGATCTGGAACTAAAACAAGTTTAAAGTAGTGTGGCTTCTTCCTTCTTTCCTGAGGTGTATAGAAGGAGTTTTGTTTCTGACTCTAATGTCAGTACATGACTGACACTTAGTACAGATTGTGATATCAACGTGGTAGAGTTGAAAACTGCAGTGACAAAGTAAATTGCAAAAATAAAGCCAAGATAAAGGAATGCAGCTAAGAGGCAGAGTGAGTGTCATATCTGGGCCCACTTTACTGTCCCCTACCAGTGCTGGTATGTATCTGTCTCTTTGTGAAGAGTGCTTTTGTCAGCTTACAAGGCATTTGGGACATTAAACCATTCTGGAAGAATAATTAAGTGGGAAATAAGATACAACAATTTTTTGATGCTGTGAAGATTTTGCTTTGGCTGAGACAAGTGATCTGCACATAACAAGAACTGTAGGAACTTGCAATGTTACACACAGTTTTGCTAAAATCTGGAGTAGAAATAAAGCCTTTCACCACAGCCTCAGATGCTCAGCATTGACTTTATGGCTAAAGAGTAAATAAGTACCTAGCATCAACTTTTTGACTCCATAGAATTTTTTGGTCACCCCTATAATAATATTGGTGAAGAGCTTGAAAAATGTCAGAGTTGGGAGTGCTGGATGTGTTGTCTCATGCATGGGCAGAAATCAGTATTTTACTGTGCCTGGTTATTAAGATGTAATGAGCTATTACACTTATATATTACATGTTTTTTAGGGCACGTCATGTCATTTATAAATGTACTCATTGTTTATAATCCTTCATGCAGACATCTTTTTCCATTTCACCATGTTCAGGTTCTCTCTTGCTTGAGGTCTGTTCTGTTTAAAAGTATACAATATTATTTTGGGGGGAGAGTACAGTAGGAAAAGAGCACCTTCTTCAGTTTTCTTTTTTTTTTAAGCAAAGAGTATGTTAAACAAAAGCCGAAGTTTACTTTTCCTGGTCAAAAAGGATCAGAGAGTATGAAATCTCTACCACTCTGTATGCTGAGAGCTTTGTTGAGTATCTTCTGGGCTCTAGTAATGTCTCTTTGGAAGCTGACTGCATAGCCGTGCACACTAGACTGTTGCCTTAAAATAAGGATAGAGTTAAATGGAGCCATGGAATTGTTTAGGTTGGAAAGGACCTTTAAGGTTATTGAGTCCAGCCATTAACCTAACATTGCCAAGTCCAGCACTATGCCGTGTCCCTAAGCACCACATCTATATGTGCCTGTTGCAATGCTTGACAACCCTTCCTTTCCACAAAGAAGGTTTTCCTGATATCCAATCTAAACCTCCCCTGGCATAACTTGAGGCCACTTTTCTCTTGTCCTGTTGCTTGTCACCTGGAAGAAGAGACTAATCCTCATCTCCCTACAACCTCCTTTCAGGTGGTTGCAGAGAGTGATAAGGTCTTCCCTCAGCCTTCTCTTCTCCAGGCTGAACAACCCCGGTTCTCTCAGCTGCTCCTCATAAGACTTGTTCTGGAGACCTTTCACCAGCTTCACTCTCCTCTTGGGACCAACTCCAGCACTTTTTTGTAGGGAAGTGCCAAAAACTGAACACAAGATTTGAGGTGCGGCTTCACTAGGGCTGAGTACAGGAGGACAGTCACTTCCCTGGTCCTGCTGGTCACATTATTTGTGATACAGCCCAGGATGCTGTTGGCCTTCTTGGCCACCTGGGCACATTGCTGGCTCGTGTTCAGCTGGCTGTCCACCAAAACCCCCAGGTCCTTTTCCTCTGGGCAGTTTTCCAGCCACTCTTCCCTATCCAGAAGCAGTATTGTGGCTGTTCCAGTTAATATGTGGGAATATGAAAAACTTCGCTGTTTCATTACTTCCAAAAATGTACAAGAGAATATATGATATTGACAACCAAAGGTTGCATGAAAAAATTAAGGCACTGAATTGCAATTCTTGGGTTCTACTGCTTGTTGACAAAAGCTTTTCAGTTTTGACTTAGAGCACCCATCTGAAACTAAACCAACAGATACCCTCGTTGTTTTGCAGATTTGCAAAATGTTTGGGTTTTTTTCTAGCCACCTGTCCCAACCGAAAACAATAAAAGCTACATAAATAGTACATAGATGCAACATTTACTTTTCTTATATTCAGGGTAAAGAATGCAAGTTTATAGTTTTAAAACCATCTTAAGCAAGAAGAATCTTCCACCCTTGGTAAAACACATTGCTGCATGCAGGAAACCTCTTAATATCTGTGCTTGGAAATTTTTATGGTTAACAAAATGCAGTACATCAAAATGTTCTGACAGATTGTGTTGATATCATCAGATATTGTGGTGGAGTGCGAGTAGGGACTTTATTACATTTTCTGCCAAGTTTGGTTGATGCCTTGCTGCAGGAACAGCTCTATGTATCCAGTTTCAGATTTATTGAGAAATTTTGTAGAAAAAAAGTGGATTTCATAGGGAAAAAAAAGGGCTTTTGCCAGTTGCACCATAACATAGTAACTTTTCAAAACCTTGAAATATTTCAGGTTTTTATGGTCAACATGATTTACCAGTATTGTCTTATGTCATCTCTTTTCATCTGGATGATTTGGAAATTTGGAAACATGCTCAAATATTTGTCAGCAGTTAGGCAGAACTTGTGCCAGTATGTCCCATAGATGATTCCTGTTCTTGGGTGAATAACCAGTCGGTGGCTGTAAGCTCTTCAGTCTGTAGATAAGTTTCCAGACTTATTGCCTTCAGTACTTTGATCTTATTTTCTGTAATATCTGATGCTTTTATGTCATTATTTGAAAAAATTCTCACCCACGGTACATTGAAGTGCAGACAGCTTGTAAGCCAGGTAGTTTTTTCTCTTCAGTTTTTTTCTAGTCAAACACAAAAAAACCTCTAATCTTTGTAAGATGGCTCTTAAAATGAGATATTCAAATTCCTCAAAACTTATATCCTCTTTCAGTCATACAAATACCGTATCAAAATTGAATTGTGTGCATCTTTGCAGTAACATGATTTTATTATGTTAATGATTTTGCCTGCAGCTAAGAAGATTAGAAACATTTTTTTCCTTTGGAGTTTTGGGCAATCATTTGCCTCAGAAGACTTCCATGTTCCCAGCCTCTTGTGCCTTTATGGTCAGCCAGGAAAGCCTCATCTGTTCTCCTTCCTTTTACTCCACCGAGTTCTCTCCCTCCACTCAGCACTCAGATAAGCTTAGCCACTTCAATGCTTTATGGTCAGGGAAAAAGAAAATCTGTAGCATACCTATGGGGAGTATTTGTCAGATGTTGTGATACTTCAGAAATAGGACGAGTCTGCCTATTAATAGGTAATATTCTGGGTTTATTTTTGGTGGCACTTGAGTGAGTTCCAGCGGCGCTTTCAGCTCAATGCCAGGCAGCCAAAGGCGTTGCATGGTTTAAAGCTGTGACATTTCAGAAGAGCACAAACGTGCTCTTTATTTGTAGCCTTTACTCTGTATTTAAAGTTTAATGACTTGTTTTTATTTTGTATGTGTGGCAGAAATCTCAAAATTATGTGTTAATATAGCTAGTGAAGAAATTAATTTAATGGAGTTTTAATTTTATTATCTTGGCTAAACTTCAGATATAGATACTTGACATTTTGTAGAAGAAATTTTAATACAGCTGAGGACTTCCATCGTAATGAACTGAAGATGAGGTTTCTTGAGGCTTTTTTTGCTTTACTTTGTTTTTTCATAACAAGTCACATTTTAACTGAGGAAGAATACCCAGGTTTCATGGTTGTGCAAGTGGTAATTGACGACTTTAGTGGCTGCTTATGTGTAAAAGAAAAAACTAATTCTTATTTATATATGTGTGTGTTTAATGCTATTTACCACTTGAATATAAGGAAGACATTCTAGTACATAGTATTTATATCTGACATTCATACTAAAAATATGCCGGTCTAATATGTCATTATTCACCTCCATGCTCTGGAAAGTTGCCTAGCTTTTCTTTAATTTCAGAGGGATTTCTGAATATTGCTGCCAAAAATTTCAAGGGAAGAAAACTCACCTTTTTGTAGTGAAAGCTTAGCAGAATTTTCATCCTGAATCTTAACCAGCTTTAGTTTCTAGTGGAGATTTAGCAATAAATGTGCTTTTCTCTACTCTCAACACACAACCTGAGATTAATTTTGCTGTGAAGTATCCTTAGGTCTTAATCAAATTTGAAGTTGCTCATTCTTGTAAAAGTACCCAGACAGAAAATGCCTACATATCTTACTTTATTAAATTCTCACATATTAAGAAGGATATACTGCATGTAGTACTTTTAACTTGAAGCCTGGGCTGTGTATATGCTGTATTTTAAGTTACTGAACAATTGCCCTGTAGAAGGAAGAGACAAAATTGGAGAGTGTTGTATTAAATACAGGGAAAACAGATGAACTATGAGAGTGTTTTCTAATGTCTTTAAGTGTGATATCACTGGTACAGTGGTAAGTGTAATGGGGCCATTCATGAGCTAAAACACTGTCTTGTTGTAAGACGCAATTTTACAAGCCTAAACAGAACTAGACCGAAGTAATTCAAGGTCTTGTCATGAAGTCGTGGAAGGCTGCCGAAGCATGGTTTCTTACAAAGATATCAAATACATTTAAATTAATTATCTTCTCTTGGTAACAGTATATCTAGTACCTGTTATGGATGCTCATGGTCATTTTCTGTGTTTCTCTTCCTAACCATCTCAGTGGAATCGGTCGAAATTGGCCGTGGGCCTCTGGTGGCAGCAGCATTTTGGCAGAATTTGGGACTTTGCATCTGGAGTTCGTACACTTGAGCCACCTGTCTGGAAACCCTGTCTTTGCTGAAAAGGTTCGTTAGACCGTTCAGTCAAAATCATGTTGTTAAAGATAAATCATGTGTTGAAAGATTAATATCTCTGGGGAGAGGTTTGGATTTTCCTCAGTTTTAAGTGTTTGTCACAGGAGGTAGATATTTTGTAGATGTTTCCCTAATCACCTTGTGTGTTTTTGTATTATGAAGTCAAAAATCTGTTCCAAATTCATTATGATGCATCTTCATGTATAGAGAACATACTCAGCACCATAAAACATTTCTGTTTATGTTCTAAATTAGTGTCGCATTAAACAATCAGACCAGAGCTTTCTTCAGTGTTTTGCCTGAATGTGGTGAAAACAAAAATTGACATGATTTTAGGGATAATATGCAATGCCTATAGAAAGCAAAGCACCATGGCTACCTTGTGTGATTTCAGGAAGTTTAGTCTTCAAAATGCTGTGTATCACTGCTGTCAGTGAGGTCAGAAAGCTTTTCCATTGCACTGGCCTTTAAGAAATGTGCCTTGAACCCCCTTTGGGGGACAAAACCAAACCAAACAAACAGACAAACAGAAAAAAAAACAAACAAACCCTAAAACCTCCTTTGACCAAACAGTTGTTGTGCATACTAATTCTTCCAAAATTTGATAACATTGTCTTCTAGATACTTGTTATATACATGAGCCACGGAAAGCAGCTCCTCTTCTTTTTCCCCTAAGTCCCACTTAAGTAATTTTGCTTTGCTTTTTGATGTGTAAAATAGTCAGCGAGTTACATTCTTTATAATACACTGCATCATTTATCTTCTCTTTTTTCCCCCTAATAAAAACTGCCACTTGTTTCAGTTTTGTGTTCTTACTACAACTGCCCTATGTTAATTGATATTCTTTATCTAATAATAAATAATGATATTCCAGATGTTTAGCAGTAGATTTAAAAGCAATAGTCAAATATAAAATGAATGCTGGTTGTACCGAACATAAAGGATTGAATGACTTTGCTACAGTAATACCATTCTCAGCACTGGAACAAGTTTTGTGAAACTAGCAATTTTAATATATTTAGGGGTGAATGAAAAGACAGAGTTTCTCTTAAACATACCTCAACTGGAGGGAAGGGATGAGGGGGCAGCAGCACTCAGGAAGAGCCAGAAACAAACTTTTTGACATTTATGGTAATTTAGTGTTTAACATCTGTCCTACTAAGAGACAAAGTTAGGGGCTGGTTAGCTCAGTCGGTTAGAGCATGATGCTGATAACACCAAGGTCGTTGATTTGATCCCTGTTCGGTCCCCATGTGTTGCCTGATCTAGTTGAGAGGTGTCCCTGCCCATGACAGGGAGGTTGGACTAGATGATCTTTAAGGTCCCTTCCAGCCTAGGCCATTCTATGATTCTGTGAAAGTGTGATAAAACTGCATATGTTAGAAGTCCTAGCCTGTAGTTCTCTTCCGAAGTGACATCAAGCTATAGCTGCATGATCCCAGGAATCTGTTTATGTAAGCTGCTCTTCAAACCTTTTAGAGATTGCAGTTCCACAGCCCTCCGAGGCAAGCCTTTCTGGGGGTACACTGATAAAGAAGAAACAAGACTGGAATAGGCTTTGTGTGGAAGTATTCATAGAAGACGACTTCATTAAATGAGGTCTAGGACTCATTGCAGTCGGGGCAATGACCATTAGCAGTGTAGTGTCAGGATGCAGAAGGCTGTTTTTGTACCACAATGGAAATCCTTCTGTGGCTTGGTGTAAGCTAATTTATCTTCCCTCTCAGCAGCTAGTGCACTTGATCTCTAGGCATTCAGGGTATTATAATGGAGCTGTCAGTACTTCTTAGTTATGATTTCTGCTTTGTGCTGCTCAGGATCTTCATTCTCCCAAGCTGCTCCATTTGCTCTTTCTGTGAATGTTAAAATTCAGTATAAACTATTTCATGTGCTCTGCAATGGGTTGTCCTGCTAGGTAACTCCAGCTGCAGAGCATCTGGACTGTAATTGTTTCCCCAGGTGCAATTGAGCTCCTCAGCAGTGCCGGCTGAGTGCTGGTTGCTGCGCGAGTTCCTGCTGGGCAAGGTGGATTTGTGGAGCTCGGCTCAGCAGCGCTCTCCATTCCAGGCAAAATGCTTTACAATTCACTTTTCCATCTGAACTCGTCGATAGGCTTAACATTCTGAATTGAGTATATGAAGAATATAATGCTGAAGTAGCTGAGCTTAGTTAAGGCAACCAGCCTCCGTGACTTCCAGGAACCTGTGGAGGGGCAAAATACTCTGTATGGCATGTCTTGAGCTTCAGAGCTTGCTTCATTACCAATATTTGACACAGAATCTCCAGAGATTTTGAGGAGCTCGTTTAAGTGATGATATCGGCTTAGAGTATCGGGGTTTTTAATAGTAATATGATTGCACAGAGGTATTCAGGTATATGTGTTGAATAAGACTGGGGGTTTTTTAGGGATATTTGCACTTTAAGGCTTCTATAGCGACACTTATTTGGGGGAGGAGGCTGAAATGAATTAGTGCTCAGTGTTTTGTATTGTCCAATAGGTAATGAACATTCGAAAAGTTCTAAGTCGACTGGATAAACCAGAGGGCCTTTACCCCAACTATCTGAATCCCAGCAGTGGTCAATGGGGCCAGCGTAAGTAGATAACTTGTTTGGTACTATGACATGTCTACTGGTGTGCTGTTTGCAGTCATTTATTTCTTTCAATCACTGTTACGTGTTTTTGTTATGTGTATATATATATATAAAGAACTTTTCCAAAGTATAAAAATGTCACACTATATCTAAGCTTCTATACAGTATAAAAATACTACAAATATAAAACTAATAATCCTACTTGCTGTATTTTAATGTACTTTTCTTCAACCTTTCTGTATGGCTTGTGCAAGCAGGGTAATATCTGAATATGTATCAATTTGGAAAAGAATTGGTAGACTAGAGAATCTTTTACTGAAAAATCTGAAGTGATCTCTAAAGTAGCAGTTTAAGGAAACATTATCAGCTCATCTGTTCCGTATTTTAGAGTGGTGTGGCTCCACTGAAGATAAAAAAAAAAATAAAACAAGTCTTTTCACTTAATACCAGCTGTGATTTCTGTTGAAGTTTAATGCCAACAACCGAGCAAGCAAACTAAACAGAACTGCTTCGTAGCATTAATCCCCTTGGAACCATTACTGGAAACACCAAAATTAGAATAAGAGTATACTAAAATGCTTGAAACATTTGAGCTTCTTAGCCCCTTCCTGATGACAGAGCCTTTTCTTGCTGTACGTTGCCTTCTCTAATCTTCATAACATGTTCAAAGCCTGCATAGTGTGCAGGATCATCATTTCAGAGACCCTGCTTCTTTTTTTACTTTTCCTGCTTAGGTCCAGTCAACCACTATCCTATTCAAGTGACTCAATGTTCTCATATTTTTTCCTTCCTACATTATTGACAGAAAACAAGCAAGATACAACGTCTTGGCCTGAAGAGACCAAGGTAGATGAGATGGTGCTGTAGATTAATCAATGTTGTTGCTGTTTAGGGAATACAAGAGTGGCAAAGGACTGGAGAGATTTTGGAATATAATAGTTTGTTTAGGATGCAGCTAAGGTGGAAGTGAAGTTCTGGCATCCTTATGGGACTGGCCACCATCTCAACAGATAACATGTTCTTTGCCTTTGTAAAAACTGAGTGTTCTGTTGCATAGAATATGTTTCTGAATGCTTTGGATCAATTTCGGAATGAAAAAGATGTCCAAAAATGTTGTGTTGCACAGTCATATTGTCCCATCAAGGCAAAGGCTGCTTCCCTTCCGTCATTTTAGAAAACATTCTAGTCTGCTACACGGTGGGGCTTCCTTCAGGTCACCGTGCCACAAGGCCTGTGGCAGCTCAGCATGCATAACCATCGGCTCTGGTTGGTGTGTTGGTACAAAGTCTGACATATGTTTACAATTCTGAGAGATACATGCCCTCTTGTTACCCGTGTTGGTTTAGTACAGCTTTGTAAAACAAAACAACCCACTGGAAGCATTGATCCTACAGCAATAGGCACTGGGTTTCGTTAGAGGGCCACCTCAGCATCTGCGAGCCAGGTCCAGTTACCTCCTCCTCCTACTTCAGTCAGCGACAGAAACTCAGCTTTTCAGTGAGCTCCATGAGAGCAGATCTTTCTAGTAGCTCACACTGTTAGTGGCTTTGCTTTATTTATTTTAAAGCAGTCAAATACTTACTCTGCCTTATGGCCTTTGCCGTTTCCCTATTTTTAATATAATTGTGTCTTAGGTGCTCCTCATTCATATTAAATGCCAGATTTTGTTGGTGCACACAGGAGAACTTACAGTTTATGCCAGCTTTGCTTTGCAATAGCATGTAGTATTGACAAAGAAATAGCTTCCTGCACATGGAAACAATGGATATAGATGTTAATTCAGGTCAGCCCCTAGCATACTGAAGCGGCAAAAGCAAATGTGGTCTTTTTGCATCTCTTGCAGTTCAGTTGCCTCCTTTCACAGACACCGATTTATTAATTTAATAGTAGAAAATCAGAATGCAAGACTTGAGAGATGTTTTATTTGAGATTGCTTTTCTAGGTTGTTTTCAATTGATTACAACAGGAAGAAAAACTCTATGCTCTTAATTGGTACAACACAGAAGAATTATCTCTCAAACGTCAAGAGAGGAGGGAGGAATAGTTTCTGAACATTTCTTCTCTAAGCAATGCTGTAACTGTGAAGGACGCTGCTGGATCGCTGCCATTGTTCCTGTAAATTCATTTAGCCCTTGTTATTTTGACAGTAAACTGACAGTGATTTGCTGCAGCGTGCGTCAATTGGATTTGTCTACTGCAATAATGTATATAATAACAGGGCTTATTATTGATGAAACTGTGCTTGTGCTATTTAGTTTGCAAATGTCAGAGGTTTCTATGGTAATTTATTTAGGAAACCGTAAAGGTCATTTAAATGCTGCTGTTCAAAGATCAGCCTTCGATCATAGAAAACATTCTCATCTTTTTTCAAGAAGCCTCTTTTCTGTTTGGATCATGAACATTTAATTAAAAAAAATGTGTATTCTTTCCAGAAATTTAATATATCTCATTCAAAAGAGGAGGGGGGGAGAAAAGCCATTTATAACTCAAATTTGATGGTACAATGTATTTATTAGGCAAAGGGACAGCATACATTCAGAAAACTAAATTACTTTTTTTATGTCACAGGCTAGTGGAGGAAAAAGACACTGTTAATAAAGTTTGAATAGAAAAAAGTGTATCTTCTGCATTTACATTGCCTTGCCACCTATTTAGAAGGTGAAAGGAGGCATTCCATGAAGAGAAGATACTAAGGAGTTTAAAAATAATTCCTCCATGTTCTTTTGAATTCAACCAGCAGAGGCATAACTTTGAAGCTAAGATCAGAGCTAGGTGTTGGGAAGTGTGAGCTCTGTGCCACTAACCTTCCTGCATCTCGCTGTGTGAGCCTGGATTACCCCTGCATGTTTTGCTGTTCTCATGCCCAGAATTTTCTGATATGGCACATGGACTCACTGTGTGATATATGTAACCACGTCTTTTCTTGCTGTAAAGTTGATGATTATAAAGGAATAGTCCTGGTAAAGCACTTCAGAATCCTTTCACTGAAGATTCAGTAAGTGTCAAATCTCTCGAGGTTACCAGGCAGCACCAACTTAAAAAAGGAAAACCTCTAGCTAGTGTTCTTAGTTTAATCCAGCTTAGAGAAACACTTCACATGCATATACATATATATACATGCTACAACTATCCATTTATCTATACACAGTTGTAGCATTTCGTGTGTTTAGTGAATCTACGCTCAAATCATCATAGCTCATTAAAATTTTGCCAAGAGTCTTTTAAGCTCCTGGATAGCAACCTTGTGGAAACAGCTGAGAACATCGCTGACTGTCACATCACTGGTGCAACTTGGGTCAAACCATCTGACCTGTGTGGTGTCAGGGTTTGCAGGGGCATGTCTTAAATGTGTGCAGGTGAATAATCACAGCATCGCTAGGACCAGATCACTTCACACAGGAAGCTCAGGGCAGAATAAACCACTGTGATAGCAATAATCCTCTGTTGATGTGCCAAAGTCCTTTTTGTTTTTTTCCCCTTCCAGAACCACTGCTGAGTACTGAAAGCAGACAGATATTCAAAAATGTAGTATTATTTTTAAAAATATGGATCAGCATTTTCCATTAAAAAACCTGAAATTCAACTCTGCAGTAAGGAGCTAAAACATTTTGCCTTTTTTGATGAAGTGACTTAAATGGACCATTAGTGAATAAAAGAGCAAATAAAAATGTGGTAAGAGTGGCAAGAGTGCATGTTAAGAGGGAAAAGCCTCTATCAGAGAGCACCTTCTACTTTTTTTCCTATTTTTAAAATAAAAAAGAACTTGGATTAACACATTTTTTATGGCGTAGACAACATGAATTAGATGTTAAACATATAAATTCTTGGTTCTTGGCCACGAACAGCTGTGGCACATTGTGGATATTAAATAACTATGGTGCTTTAGCCTGATGAAGTTAGCAACTTAATAAATAATTCTCTGTATATACCAGTTAAGTTTTTCCTGAGGTTCTAGGCTTACATTTATTAAAGATGGTTGTAGGAAGAGATCATTACATGCACTGTTTCAAACCGTAATTGTACTTTATTGCCTAGACTGAAGATGAAATTGCTGTTCAATCTCTTTCTTCCCGTTTAAGATCACGTCTCCATTGGAGGGCTTGGGGATAGCTTTTATGAATATCTGCTCAAGGCATGGCTGATGTCGGACAAGACAGATGAAGAAGGAAAGAAAATGTATTACGATTCTGTTCAGGTAAATAAGACATTTAAATCATCCTTTCCATAATAATCTAATCTATAATAATCTTAAAGAGATAGGTTCTGGGGACAGTATGAGAGATTTATGTCTTTGCCACTACAGTGTGTTTTATTTTTTTTTTAAAAAGACTTCACCAAATGTAAATGCTAGAGGAATACAGATACTGTGAGGAAGGGGAGAGTCTTAAAGCATAGCTCTGTTTTTTTCCAGCTGCAATGCAGTCAGTCCTCCCTGATACTAGAGGGGTAAAGTACAAAACATGCAACAAAAAATGCATCTACAGGTAGCTCTCAGAAATTAAATTCTTTTCCCCTCAGTTTTCCTAAATATATTTCTTTTGTCCTCTTTCCTTATATGCAGTAGGGAGTTATTCTTTTCTGTTTCAGTCTCTTATTTCAGATATTATTTTGATTGTTGCCAACACAGAGACTAATGTATTATGGCGGATAATTATAAATGAAAATACAAATTTTTCTTGCACAATGACTATTTCTTACAAGAGGCATATGTTTGCCAGCTTCTGTTAAACAGACAATTATTCAAATTGGACACGAGGAAGTTTTAAAAAAATCAGAATTGTTCATACGTACATTTCTATGTGGTATTTTATTTATCATCCTTCTTGTCTACAGTTTGCTGTACTATTTATTATATTTCCTTAATATGCTGATTTGGGAGAAGTAATGGTTTTGTGACACCAGATTGAGACTTGAGAAGTATTAAGTTTAAATTTCTATTTACAGGCTTTCGTTCCATTCTTGGACAAACTACCTATTTTCTCAGTTCTTTGCCTATGTATATATATAGAGGGTAATATTACATCTTTTTTGCCCATCCTTTCATCTGTTTTGACTGGAAGCTCTCTAGGGCCAGGACTTTTATCTCTTATTAACTGTATGTGTCTCTGTCTACAGTGTCTCTGTAGACAAGGCTTCAAGATGCTAAGCAATATCTGCTTATTCTTTCATATATCTGGAATTTTCCTTTCGCTTCCCATACCACAAAAAGTGGTGACATTAAAAAATACAATCCTGGCTCATCGCAACTATCTTTCTTGTTTTTTCATTGGAGAGTAAAGTCATATACAATGATTTGAGGGAGGGTGTGATCTCTGGCGACAGTAAATTTCACGACCAAGTATCCTCTGCTAAGAAAACCCTGCCTTTAATTTTGTAAGTGTAGATTTGGATGCAGTTGGCCTCTTTTTCACCACTGATGTGGTTTCAGAGCAAAAGGTGGGTTTTAAATGAGGTTTGAGTGCATTTGAGGCTGTAAGACCAGGGATACTGTAATAGCTCAGCCATTAGGTTGGCAGCCAAAAAGAGAGAACAAAGTGTCTTGATAATATGATATCAATCCTTCACATTGTGGAAGGCATTTTGAAGCACCTCAAAGCTGCTTCTAATCTTCTGTGTCCACTGGTGTAATAACATTAGGTTTTTCTTTTAAATGCATTCTTACACAGAGTAAGCACTAGTTCATAGACGAAGGTGCTAAGAAAAATTGTGGGTTTGCTAGTATGGCTATTCTGGAAACCACTGCAGGTGAAATACTCCGAATGTGGTACAACCATCCCCTGTGTTGGCAGAACCATGAGTGGATTGCCTCCCATCCTGCTGGGGAGCAGCAGGGGCACGTTGATCCCTGCTGCTGACAAAGAGCCCCAGACAGCCCAGTGCCTTGATGGCCAGCGCTGGGCGGCTCCTACGAAGGCTGAGGGTTCACCTTGCCCTGACTCGAGCACAGCTGCAGCAAGGACATACATCAGGAAGTTTCTCTTGCTTTAGACCACAGGAACAGGTGGGCTGGCCCATGTCAGCTGCACGGTGGGTCCCTCCTCTTGGGTCTGGGTCTCTCCTGAACTGGGAGCTCCAAGGTGTGTCCATGCAGGGCGTGGCTTTGCTTAAACTCACTCCTTAGCTATACTGGGATAACAGCCACCTCGGGTACAAAATTTAGCACAGGCATCCTGGGGTCCCAGCAGGGAGCAGAATTGGTGATGGCCACCACACTGCATGGCCAGTTTTCCCTGCTCAGGGTTGAGCTGCAGGAGTAGAATTGCCTGGTCAGCAGCATCACCAGATGTGACCATATTAATGACAGAGTCTGAGCTCTGCTCTGTATGAAAAGTATGCATCATCTTAATTTTTTTAGTAGCACAAGCTCATAAGCAGTCTAACAGAGTATATCAGTGTTTAAGAAGGCCAAATGATCACTAAACCTGTGCTAGATTTCACCATGCTGCTGCTTGAATGCTATTTCCAGTATTTTCTAAGCGGTGGCATTCATGGTCTCTGCTTTCTATACCAAAGTGCATCTGTACCAAAGCTGGAAATGTACATGCCAGCAAGTGGAGGCACAGCTTGATGCTGTAATGTAGCTTGCTCAGAAAACAGCAAGGAAATTGCAGTCTTGCAGAAGCTGGAGACTGTTTGGGCCCCGTTCAGATGCCAGGTTCTTCATGGGAGTAACTAGTCTGTTTTGAAATCCATCCTGATATTGGCTTTATTGCTATTGATCCCTTACTTATCTAAATTAAAGCTAATTTAAGTGTCTGCACAAGCTGCAGTCTTTCTTTATGGCTAAGCCGACATGGTTTGGGCATTCAGAGTGTGCTTCATATTTTCTTAGATAAATTTCCCCTGACACTTTCAGAATCTTTTTAAGACTATTCCAAAGGGAACGGCACGATTACTCCTGACTGTTCGGTCCAGCACATACTCACCAAATTCTGAAAGAGGTTTGATGAACGTTTGATGCCTAATTCAATCTCTTCTTCTATCCAGAAACCACAAATTAATGTATATGGTGAATTACAATTCACTGTGAAAAGCTGGAATTTATTTAGATAAAGCTTTGGGATTATCTCTTACATTGTTCTGTAAGTCATATTAAAAGAAAGAGTTCTTTCGATTAGAGTTTTTGTAGCACTTACAGATTGTTTTATGGTATAAGTTAAAAGCAATAACTAAGATGTCAAATTAGATTTTAAAACTTTTTCTGCTTGCCATGAATAATGTGTGTATTTGGCTGATCCCATTTAAAGAAGAGTTTATTTCTATTGGGAAAAAAGGACAGAGATAGTCCTGTTTTGAATATCAGGGCATAATATTTATATATATTTATAAGGCCATCAGAGGGATTCATAAACTCTAGAATTTGCACAAAAAGACAAGTGAATGTATTTTTAAAATTATTTTTCTCTTTCGAAAGGCAATGCGTATAACGTCCTGCTTCACATAAGACAGGAAATAAGAGATCTTCTTATACTGGTTTCAGTGGACAATGTGCAACATTCAGTTACAGAATGAATGTTATTCAGCTTTTAGTCATATTTTGAGGATGTAACTGCCCATAGAATTACAGAATCATAGAATCATTTCAGTTGGAAAAGAACTTTAAGATCATCAAGTCCAACTGTTACCTAACTCTACCAGGCCCATTGCTAAACTATGTTTCTGAGCATGATATCTAGACAGCTTTTAAACACATCCAGGGATGGTGATCGCACCGCTTTCCTGGGCAGCCTGTTCCAGTGTAGTTTTTCCTGATGTCTAACTATACCTCCCCTGGAATAGCTTGAGACCATTTCCTCTTGTCCTATCAGTTGTAACTTGTGAGAAGAGATCAACCCTCACCTCACTATAACCTCCTTTCAGGTAGCTGTAGAGAGCAATGAAGTCTCCCGTCAGCCTCCTTTTCTCTGGGCTAAACAACCCCAGTTCCCTCAGCCACTTCTCTTAGGACTTCTTCTCAAGACCCTTCACCAGCTTTGTTGCCTTTCTCTGGACCTGCTCCAGCACCTCGGTGTCCTTCTTGTACTGCGTTGCCCAAAACTGAACACAGTGCTCGAGGTGTGGCTCACCGGTGGGACAATCATTTCCCTAGTCCTGGTGGCCAGACTAATAGAAGAATCTATCAGTCTTTGCAGGTATGCAGGACAGGAACCATCCCACTCTTCAGTTCACACAGCTGATCAAACATGAGCAATGGACTGGCAAAACGGAGCAAAAATGGACCTTGTGGTTCACTTATATCTAGTCTATCAACAGCATTGTCCCAAGGAACTGCTTCAGATACCCCTTCTTGTATGTGTCGGGCCTCATTTTCTAAGCTGAAGGGCAGTCTTCCCACTACTCCTGTTAATAGGTTCTCACACTTGATGTCTGATGGCCAGGTATCTTTTCCAGATTTTCCAGTTATGTTTGTTTATGGCCATTGCTACAAGCTTTCTGCATCTTAAGTATTTGTTCTCACTGTCTCTGACACTGCCTTCATCTCCATCTCAGTGTATTTCTAGAGAAGTGGCTTGTCTAAAGGCTGTGAAGAGAGCGCTGACTTGGCCCAGAAGCTCTTCACAGGAAGTGGGAGAAGCCCTTGCCAGCGCTTCTTAAGCAGCGTGGTTCAGCGCAGCCCACAGCAGCCCCGTGGTATCAGAGGGGTAAAGCTGCTGCAGCGCTACGCTTAGGCAGAGTGGTTTACTTTTAGACCTTTAGATTGTTTAATTTTTCTTCCTGGGTAGCAACTGCTTGGAAGATTGTAATGAGAAGGCTAGTGATCTCCAGAGAACCTAATACATGGAAGTATAACCAACGAAAATAGCAAAAAAGAATAATAAGCATTGTGAAGCGGTGCTGCAGCCGTTCTCTGCCAAATTTCAACAGGACTCCTGAAAGTCAGCCTGCACTTGGGCTGGGTTGCATGATTAAGGAATGCGGTAACCTCTTGTAGGTATCGAAAGGCAAAAAAGTAATTTTTGGTCTCAGGATTTTGAGTGTTCAGACATAAAATACATAGGATCCCTTTTTAATTTTTTTGTAATTATTTTTTTGGCATATTGCTAACTTTTGAGACTAGCCTTGATATATACTAAGTCTGTAATCTCCCGAAGGAAGCTATATGGTTTTGATTTTTGAGGTTTTTTTTTTTTTCAATATACTTAATTCTCAGCATTAAGTAGTGAATGTTTTTCAGAGCTGTCAAGATTTCAGCCT